GGATTCACATTGGATCCGATTTGCGTCGTACGACGCTCTGCAACCAATCAGAAAACAGGATTCCGATGGATTTTACTTCATATCATCGGAATTCTGTTTTCTGATTGGTTAAAAAAAGTCGTACGACGAAAATCGGATACAATGTGAATCCAGCATAATGTGCACTGAGTGCGGACCGGTTCTGCCAGTGAAATACGCTATAAGTAAAGAGTGTTCACGCGCGACGAATGCCGGTTACGAAAGGAAGGTTTCGTCGAGATAAATTGCACGCACGTATTTGTATATGTTCAAAAAGAATAACTTGTATATTTTATGATCACTAAATTACATCAAGTACACGATTAAGCTTATGCTACAACTTAGTATTTAACGCGGTTAAGATTAACAAAGTTAAGTAAAATCTACTTATATAACTAGACGAAGTTACAAATAGAAAATAGAAATGGAAATCTGTTGGACTTGAGTTTGAATTGGAAGTCGCGATGGTCTGGAAGAGACCTTTTCTTTTGACCGAACCTCGGCCTCGGAACTTAAGAACTCGACGACTCTTAGCTAACAACTTACTAACTACTAAGGATCCACGCACAAAGATGGTTGGAACTGTTTCCGATTGAATCGTAATCGTAAGTCGTTGTCGTAGGTCAACGCACAATGAATAAAATCATTGTGCGTTGCCCTACGACAACGACTTACGATTACGATTCAATCAGAAACAGTTCCGACCATCTTTGTGCGCGGATCCTGACTCGGTTATCCCGAGAGCATTTTCGAAAGATCCCCTTCCACGCTGGTAGGGCGCATGTGGTGGGAAAGGCGTCAGGAGCGGTCCCGGCGGTTTTCATGCCCTGCCGGTCTATTGAGGTGAAGAAAATTTGTGATTTGCCAGGGGATACTTTTGGACAAGTTTTATATGTACCGCGGACGTAACAACCCCAAAGCTCTGATTGGACGGCTCGTTATTGCCTATTGCCTGTACTATTGCGTTTCCAGCTTTAGGGCCTGAGCACAATAGAGGAACAGGAATTAGATATTAAGATTTCAACCTATCAGAAACTGATTACATCGAAATACACGGTTTCTGATAGGTTGAAATCTTATAGCGTTTTCGATTGGGCAAAAGTTAGTGCGCACCAGTGCGCACTCAGTTCACACCAACACTGGTCGAGTTCCATGGGTTGCACTGAATAGTGCAAGTTCAAAAGAATACGCCAAGATTTTCAGTGCAAAAGCTGAAACTCATTTTTGTTCACTTTGAAGCAATGTTCAACAAAATGTTACAAAACCACAGTAAAAGATATTCAGAGTAGGGACAAGACCCCGTTTTCAATTCAACTGCGCAGATTTGCTTGTCCCTATGTATATCCTTAACTGTGATAAAACTGGCACCGTCAAAATATCTCGTGCCACTTAGTGCTCACTGAGTGCGATCAAATGAACACGTGACACTAGCCATGATAAAAAGACAAGGGTATGCTCATGCGCATGACCAATCAGATTTTTGTCCTTGCTTACGTCACAACGAG